ACTAATAGCCCTCACCAGCTGACCACATTCCACAGCTGTGTGGCTCAAGGTCCACACACACACACACACACACACACACACACACACACACACACAACCCTCGTATCTGCTCAGCCGGGAACACCTTCAGAAAATAATTCAGGGGATTCAGACCGTTTCAGAACCTTCAAAGTGTTTCCAGCAGAGGATTTTTAGGACGCCTTCATCTCGGCCCCGTCGGCATGAAAGTCTGTTATTGCAAATAAGAGGAGCATTTCTTCTGTGTGCAGGATGGGGTTCTCAGGCCGTGGTGGAATGTGACTCTGTGCACGTTTAGCTTTGGAATAAACCACAGGGTTATTTGCTCAGACATACTTTCACTTAAGAGAGGTCGGCGACCTTTGTGACGTTCATGTTTTTCCCAAAACCCAACTAAGTGGTTTAGCCGCCTAAATATTGACAATTACCATTTTATACATTTGATCGTCCCTCCCAGGCGCCTACTTCCTGCCTGGGATTTGTATTATAGAACCCATGCGTTACCAGGACAACCCGATTGTGTCCCTGAGCAAGACGCCAGATCCCCACCAGCCTCATGGGGATCTGATGCCTCCTTGACCTCTGACCTCACTGCAAGAGGCCAGAGACAACCAGCCGCAGAGGTGAATCCTTTCTCACGCTTTTATTGCAGCTCTACAGCGCCGACCAACCTCCAGCGGCGCGGCCTGCACCTGACCGACAGCCAGAAGAAGAGGTCAAAGGGTCAAGCTCCATCCCGGGCTGTACGGATGGAGGGATGGAGGCACGGGGATGCTGAACCAAGACAAAGGTTTATTAAAGGTGCTCAGGAACACCCTCTTTCTCCTGCACGGGGGCCGCCAACACCAACAAGTGCTGAAAGTTCCTTTTGCTGGAGTTCAGTTAGATATGACCGAGGCTGATTTTACCCCCAATCTCATTACAATGTTGCATTTGGAAGATTAGGCCTGAGAACATGGACGTTATTGTGTGTGCTCTGCTCAAGGTTTTCAATTCTGCAACCAGGTCAACACTGCATGAGGAACTGTTGTGATACTTCTTACACAATGTACATAAAATGTACCAGTGTTAGCGAGAAAAGGGTGTTTTTTCCGAAGTTATGACTTGGGCTGTTTTTGCTTCGTATTATGTCTTCAAATAACCATTATTGATTTCACTGCAGATTAAAATCAATAACACATCAGAGAACATTGTCAAGCCAAGGTGACGACAGATGAAAAGAAACTAAAGGCAACAAATCTAAACAACTGAGAGGATCCAAACACCCAAATGTTTTGGCACAAACTTGACTGAAGGTTCATTGTTTGCATCATCATATTTTTCTGTTTTTTAATGCTTTCATGTGCATCTTTTTCTGAGTACTTTGGGAGAATCCCAAATACAGTTACTGCTCTCATCACTATTACGACAAGATTCATGAAAGCAGCAGAAATAACATCCGTTTAATGCTCATGTTCCCCGTGGTTCCTTCTGCACCCGCGGCCCCCCATCAACGCTCCCAGTGCGCCCCGGTGTCTGCCCCATTATCTTCAAAAGTCATAGGGAGCTTCTCGCGCACCAATCAGCGCCTGCGGCTGCTCCCAGGCGCCCCGGCGCGGCCGCGCATTGGCCGCGCCGCGCGTCCGTCAACATCCCCGCGCGCGCGGCGTGTGGGAGGAGCTGGGTTCGAAGCCCGAGGGGAGGGGCGGCGGGTTCGGAGGCGGTGCGAAGTGTCAACTGTGTGTCCCCATTCTCCTCAAAAGTGGCCCGTGTGTGTGTGTGCGTGTGTGTGTCTGAGGACGACGCGAGACGTCCCCTCGAGCCGCGTCCGGTCACAGCGATGCGATGCGCCGCGCGCGGACGCGTCTCCTCTCTCCTCTTCCCCACTTTGGCATCGATGCGGTTCGGGTGCAGGAGAGCAGTTTCGGGCGTGACCTCGTAGCCGACGCTGGATTCTTTCTCGTTCACGCGCCGTAAGGGTTTGCGCGTTGTTTAGGTTGTGACTCACGGCGCAGTGGCTCCGCCGCCTCGCGGACCGCGCGCGGGGAGGACTTGTTGCGCGCATCCGGGGAGAGCGCGCGTCCGCGCGAGCGCTGTTTCGTTTCTTCAGTCCAAGTCCACGCTCTGATTTGTGATGGACCGCGGAGGTCAGCGCACACCGGCAGCCTGAAGTCAGACTGCGGCATCGGGGCGGTCAGTGAGTTTCCTCCAGCCGCTCCGGCGGATGCTTTTCTGCACTAAATGGCTTCTGCGCGCCGCCAAGTAGAACTTTATTCGGGTCAGATCCGAAGGCTCGGTTGATCCCCCCCCCCCACCCCCCATCTCCCGTCACGTCGACATGTCTGAGCGGGATGGAAACGGAGACGCGCTGTGCGGCGACGGAGCGCCGGACTTCGTCCCGCCGAGAGCGTCCCGCGGCCGGCGCAGCGGTGTCATCCAGGACACCGACGCCATTCTGCTGGATTCGGTGAAGGCAGCTCCCCGCCGGAGCAGCATCATTAAGGTAAGAAATCCCGACATGCCCCCTTGTTCAGTTCTCACCTCGGACGGCATGAATGGAAACACAACTTGGATCCGCTTTGTTCAAGATGGCCAAATAATGATGGTGTTTCATAGCACCTCTGGTGAGAAATATTCTCGACTATGGTGTAAAATCATTCAACAAGTGATGTGTGTGTGTGTGTGTGTCTGTGTGTGTGTGTGTGTGTGTGTGTACTGCATCTTGTGGCTCTTCGCGTCGCTTCCTTTTTACGCGCGTCGTACGTGCGCTTTCTATCAAATGGCACAATCTCAGTCCTCCTCGTTCCGCTGCAGCCGCGCCACAATCTCAGGTGCGTGCACAGCCCCAGCTGGGCAAAACACAACTTCTGACTCCCTTGTTTGGTTTGTGCGACACTGCTGCTAAATGTTGATTCACAAAAAAAAAAAAAAAAATCACTCAAAAGCTCCTTAAGGATTATTCTCATTAGAATGAGCTTTACGGATTAAATACCGAGACAGTCTCCGCAGGAACAATGGGTCCATGGGAATACGGGAGGCACACGCACGTCACACCGTGGATGAACTTCATCAGGGTGTGCAAATGTAAACCAGCGGTGGAAAGGACTAAAATCCTTTAAAAATACCTCCATACATAAAAACAATGCACTTTAAATACAAATGTGTTTAAAAAAAACAACTAAATCTGGAAGTAAATTGTCCTCTTTGAGTGACAGGTAATATACATGACGTTATTAGACTGTTCATCCATCAACGGTAATGACACTTGAGTTTAATTTCGACCCCCGGCTCAGGAGCTGGGGCCCCTCCGGAGGGTCACAGGTAAATCCTCGGGGTCGCGACATGATCGACGGGAGAGGAGAGACGAAAAAACAAACACTTATGTCCATTCTTTTCGCTGTTGTTAGAGAAATGAGCGGTGGATTGACTTTAAATGCGCCTCGGACAGCCACATCAGACAGAGTTACGTCATCTGGGGAGTTCAGAGCATCTGAGCAGTCGTCGAGCACCCGCGCGTGACGAGGAACCCCCGGTTTCATTTTCAACGACGCGTTTCCAGTTACGGAGCTCTCTTTAAAAAAAACCCAAAGTGCTTCACGCGGTTGAACCAGCGACACGCTGACATTTCAGGACTGGAAATGAAGGAGAGCAAACACGCCTCATCCACATCACGGCGTCGTAGCTCTTTGCTCCCTCACCTGCGCTCAGGTTGCAGGTCACCGAACCCCCCCGGGATCGTTACCTTTTAATGTCGGTAGTTAAACACATCCACTCGGGTTGCGTCTGCCAGTAATCAGGCAGGTGGGGGATTTGGTGATGATGGGGGAGGGAATACGTATAGTACATATGTATATATATGTGTGTATGGAGTGGCAGCGGTGGAGGTTGTGGTTTGGGCCCCTCGTGCGAGCTGAAATCGGAGGCTCGGCGAGCCCCATCTGGAACAGAGAGTCCCTTTGAGCGCTGCCGGGGGAGGACGGGGGGGATGAGGGGATGAGAGGATGAGCGGAGTGATGTCAGTGACAGGCGCTATCAGCTGTGACAGCCGGCGTCGGGTGTCAATACGGCTCAGAATCCCTAGAAATATGCCAGATGATTAGTAGCCGCGAGGCACTGAGCGTTGGAGTTTGGCTTTAAGTAAGATTAGTAAAGTTACCTGCAGAGGTTTTGAGGAATGACGTCCCCCAAAACCTTCACAGGTGCGAGACACGTGAGGGGATTCAGATTTACATCATTGGAAGAGAATATTTCGGGGCCTGGAGCTCAGCTAAAGGTCTCTGATTTTTTTATTCATTAGATATTTCACAATTATCTGAGATTTTGTTGACAGAATGTCTTGCTTGATTGAGAAAATAATCCTCCAATTAGTAGATATTGAAATTGTTTAAGGGAAACATTTTAGGGGAATGTTAAAACAGCAGCTTGTTGTGCTTTAATGCGTTTAAATGAGAAGCAGGAATCACAGCCCGCATGTCGGGAGGCTCAAAACACCAAACACCAAAGAAAAAAAATGAAAATAAAGTGCATTCTGATTTCTGGGACATTTTCACTTTTCGCCATTAAATGTGGAATCAGAGTAAAAGGAGAGATTTCTCACAGCTTGAGAAGAACTAAGGTGTTCAGTTGTTTTTCTGCCTACACACACACACACACACACACACGCGCGCACGTGTTCGTTAGCTCCTCGTTCTGTGCGCGAGCTCTGAAGCTGACGCAGTAATCACATCCTCAGTAGGTAAAGGTTCGGATCGTCATCATCATCTTCATCAGTCTGCATTAGGTCGTTGCCTGTCTCTCGTTGAAGCTTTGTGGTATTTACGATGAAATATTCAAACCCCAAGATGCATTTTCTTATTTAATCTTATCATTTGTCATCTCGCTGGACTAAAAAGTAGCGTTTTCGGGGCTTCGAACAACGTTTGGAACGCGCAAGTTCATCTACGGCTCTGCTCCACGTGTTTGTTGAGCCAGTGCAAATACAATTGTATTTGGGTCGCGACATTTGCCGTCGATTCGAATTGATCGGCGATGCATAATGATCTGTACTCGCACACGCGTGTACAGTGGAGCAGCGCACAAAGTAGTCCAATGTGATTGTGTAAATGAACAGCGGCCCAACGGGGCCTTTCTTTCATTTTAGAAACTTATCGAATAAAGAATTGGTGGATTAGTTAAAGGCCCTTCGGTGTTTTTTAAATACGGGCTGAGAAGATTCTCAGAAATACTTCTGAAGCCTTTTTTGGTTTATTGTTGAGGTGATAACGTGAAAGACTAACACACACACACACACACACACACACACACACAGTTTGGCGTCACAGAAAGTTAAAGTTTTGCAGATTATTATCACACAAACGTCATTTTACGATCTTTGACTCTTATTTGTTTTTGCATCAAAGAACCTGATTCCTTCCGCGTTGTTCATGCTTTGCGCTGATTATACATCTGGGAGCGTCGCACGTCCGTCGGACCCTGGATAGCGCTCTGACGGACACTCACCTCTTGACCCTCGGTGCCAGAAATAACTCTCCCGTCTTCTCTGCTTTAATAAGAAAGTAATTACTTGCGCTCGGCTGGCTTCAGTCTGCTGGTGCTGCTTCCTGATGAGCTGCAGAAGAATCAAGCGAAACGGGACGAGTTTATCACGAGCCGCAGATTTCTCCTCCAGATTGGAATATCTTTTTATATAGAAAGTGCTTCTTGAGAGATGGTTTGCCCACTTTGAAATTATACCTCAGCTAACTGCTAACTTCTATAATTCCTCCCCCTCCTGCAATCTGCCAGATACTCGTCATCATTGCTTTTCCACCAGCGAAACAACGGCGATTAGCTCACACGCCAGTCAGCCTGGGGGGGGGGATTACTGTTCGATTCTCACACATACACATGGGAGGGGTCGGAGGTCGGGGGTCATGGTCGGATGTCTCTCTGACAGCTCGGCTGCTCGCTGGTGGAGCGCAGGAGGGCACCAGCCTTCTGCCTCGGTGGCATGCATTCTTTTTTTTTTTTTCAACTTACATCATTTCATTTTGCTCATCTACACACACGCAGGGGCTCTTCCTGTTCGTCGGCACTATTTGCGCTCTTTCTTTGAACCGCGGTGACTGACATCCGAGATGTTTCATTACTCCTGCGACGTTCATAACTAGACGAGACCGCCGGAGGAGGAGCGCCGGTCTCTGCGGGCCGAGGCCCAGCGGCTCCCGTCTGGTCCCGTCTGGTCCCTTCTGGTCCCTTCTGGTCTCCTCTGGGACGCGGCCACATTGTTGCGCCATCTGAGGGGAAGGGGGGGGTGGGTGGGGGGCTTTGCAGAACCAGAACCGGCCAGATGTTTCAATGAGTTAATGACGTAGTTTACATGCGACAAGTGAATCCTCGGGGGACCACGAACGCCAAGGCGAAACCCAACCGGTTCGCTGAAACGGGGCCGGTTTATCTGCACAGATGTGCCTCCACCCCCTTGGAGGAAAGTCAAGGAATTTCCCATCGAGGCCACGCTGTGATCCGAGTGTCCGTCCGATGTGCCTCCGTGTCGTCTCCCACCTGCACCGCGACTCGCTCTGAATCCCCCGCTTTGTTTTCTCGTTCGGCGGCAACACTTTCCCGAACAACGCGAACAACGGTTCGTACCGCTGGAAGCCCGTCAAGAGGAATGACAATGCAACGTGTGTGTGTGTGTGTGTGTGTGCATGCAGTGCAATCAGGGGGCCTCTGAGAGCCCTCTGTCTCCCCGTATCATTCTGCCACTGGTGCCACATCTCACACACACACACCGCCTCATTGCAGCTGCTGGTCAGGGGTTGGAAGTGTGTGTGTGTGTGTGTGTGGCTACGGAAGCGCACGCAGCTCTGGCACAATACGCCACGATTCATCGCACAAGAAAAAACAAAAGACACAAAAGTGCGGCCTCCCCCCCGGCGCCACAGGAAGCGTAACCCGTGTACACGTGCCGTGCGGGTTGTGCGGCGCCTCTGCAATCGGCTGCTCGCCCTCCGCGCGTCTCTCTGAGCGCGCAAAGCAAACACTTGATGGATGTTTTTTTTTTCACGCGTGTGACTGAAACAGAGGTCCGACGTGTCTTCTCCTGCACCTCCATACGCATCTTGCACTCCGTCTTGCACGTAAGGGGGGTCCGTGACCGCGCCGTGCCGCTCGCTGTTATAGACGTTTTTCCGAACGCGCGGCAGTGCGATTGCGCTTATCAGCTCGTGTTAATGACGGAAGAAGGGCCAATGGCAGCGCAGGGAGGAATCTTTATCAGTCACCGGGCGATAGCGGCCTCGGGTGCGTGGAAGGTGAAGCGCTTCGGACTTCGGAGCAGACGGACCTGCACACGGGAATTGGATTCGTGACATTTAAAGTAAGGAAAGTGAAGACCCCAGAAGCACCGCCATTCTCCCACCACGTCGTCTGCAGTGTCTCACCCGGCAGAGCTTCTTATCTTCCGGATGCTAAATGCATCACGGGTTCACGCCGCACAGCACGCCGTTGCATGAAGAAGTA